GAAGGAGTATCTGCCTCCCTTGGACGGAAACGCCGTCGTGGAGGAGCTGCCCAATGGCGAGGAGGACTCCTCTGCCCTTCTGGATGATGGCTATCACTATCGCTCCGTGAAGCGACTCCGCTTCTAGTCCTCAAAGACCAGTCGCTTTATTTTATTCCACTACGAATTTCTGTTTCTGTTCTGTGCGACAATTGTTGTTTAATTTTACAAAATATATAGACAAATACTTTGCCGACACCGATGGTTTAACACGCAATTGGAAAAAGGGAAGACATGCTGAAATAGGTGGGGAAAGGCACTTAAAGTACCCAGTATTTAGGATCTTTCAATCTAATAATAGCTCAAGAAGTTAGGGTTCCTTAAATGGATTATTTATTTCCTAAAGTTATGGAATAGAGTATTTTTAAAATTTCGAAAGCATCAAAGATGTAGTGTAATTTAAGTTATATTATATTAATTCCATTTTAAAGGGGTAAAATTGTAATTTCTTTATAATAACTTAATTGATCCAATTTAATTTAAATTTATAAAAAACTGAAGTAAAATACTATTAAATGTAAGATTCAGTTAAGAACACTTTAATTTTATTAAAGACTGCATAAAAATCTCTAGAGAATTTAAATCCCAAACTATTTTGTAAATTTCCGGACTGAAATAGATTTTTCAAGGTGATTTCGAGCCCGATGTCATCCCTCATCACGCATATACCCACTAAATCCTACCCATACCCAGCAACAACTCGATTGCCGCCGTGAACATTTCATTTATATTGATGACAGGAAATTAGAAAAATGTTTTCACAATGCGCACGGAACGTCGCAGGGACGAGAACTCTTCACCGGGAGATATTGTCGCAGTGCTGCGAGGTCCTTGCTGCGTGAGTCCTGCGGCTTGAGTTCTCACCCCCTTTCAATTGATTTGCGGCCGCTTGTGGCTGGGTTTTATTGTTTTCTTTACGTGTCGGCGCTTGGCATACATTTTCATTAACCAATCTGGAGAAAGTTTTCCCGTAACTTGGAAAACTCACAGAGCCCTCTTCTCGAGCCAGTTCAATAATTCAACAAATTTCCAATTGGCCGTATAAATATTTGAAAAGTTTTAAATGTTATTCCTGTTTGGCGGGGTGTTTGTGTAAAGCCTAAATATAAATGGGATTTTTATGTTTCCGGCGGTTTGCTGTTGTTGAATTACTTATGAATAATTCAATACGAGAAAAATACGGAAAAATTGCTTGCCTACTTTTACGCGCTGTTCGAAAAAAAGTGAAGCAACAAGTGGCTGAAATTTTGCGGATTCTTTGGCTGCGCATTCGTTTCCCCTTGAGATATCCAAAACAAATAACAAATCCAAGCCAAAGAGCTTTAAGTGCATTGCACTCTAACGAATTTTTGTTTTCTTTTATTTCTTTCTTTTTTGATGGTCATAAACCTCAACAAATCGGAGCCAAAACAAACACCTGTAAACAGTATCCGATTGAAAGAGTTTCCCATGTTTCGTTGAGTGTTGAAGGCGGGAAAAAGCTTGTGGGAAATGCAGGAAAAGCCTGCCGAAGCTTTGGCCATTCAACATTCGACGAAGCGACGACGAGGAAAATCGTATATAAACCGAGCGCCGAGGAAAATTCAACTTAGTTGCGGGTTTATTGTTGCCGAATGCGAACGGAACGGAATCGCCGGAAAATGCGGCCGGGCTGAAGACAGTGCGAGCGAGTGAGATAAAGATATTCGGCCGAGCAACAGTGAAAAGCGTTTGAAGGGCCATAGATACAAGATAATGCCCCATAGAGGAGTCGTCCTCCTCTCCGCCAACCGATATGTGAAAATCACCTAGTGAAGCCAAAGTGAAAGTGTGTGAGAGGTGAGGGAGCGAGGCAGCAAGAGTGATAATGGATAAAACAACTCTAGATAATAATACAAAGTGTCGAGTTTTCCGAGACAAGTTTAAAATGATATAATGACTATAAACATGAATATTATGTACAAGTTTTATTAGTAAAATTTACACTTTTAAAATGTAGTATTTTTGAAAACGAAATTTTTGAAAGTTTTTAATGTTTGACTAATAGAATTAGTTAAAAATTATCAAGAGATTTAATATAATAAAAGAAAATGGCAGAGTCGGGAAAGTAAAGACTCAATTAAACTGAATTCGATTTATTTTGATGTACTGAAAGTAATAAGCTTAAGATAAGCAACTCAGTTTAATAGCGTTTTAAATCCAAACATTATGAAATATTAATTTATAAACAACCAAATAGAAAACAAGAATGTTCAAGATAAGCAAATAAAAATTACAAGGAAAATTCAACGTGAGACCCAAGAATTTACTGCCACAAATCATTTGCAAATATAAATCAAAATTACCATAAACGAAATCCCACTGTGAATAAATATGAACTCGAGGAGCCGCAGCAACTTGAATAAATCAAAATTAAATATTAATTAAAGCCGCATTAAAATTGCAAAGAAAATTGAATAACCGAAATAGCTGTAAACCAAATTGCCTTGTAAATGCTACCGAAAGAAAACCAATTTTACACACTTAATTTAACCACATAACTCTTGGCGTTTCTCTGCCTTTCGCAATTAAAATGCAATTAATTTGGCAACAAATTTGCTGTGTAAAGAGTTAAAGCCGTCTTCGTATTTTGCCTCTGGTTGGGTATTTTGAAATTTAATTTTCAATTGTCATTCTCTCAATTCCATCCGATCCGTTCAGTGGCAGTAACTTGACACAACATCTAGTTGGCTTAGCAGCTTCATTGAATTGCCATCCGCACAAAATGCATTTTTCCTTTTTTTTCCCCCTTCCAAAGGGCTTCTGTTGTTGTTTGGTATTTGTTGATCGGCTTTGTGGGCCTTAGCACAGAAAAGTTTATTAATAAAACGTTTTGCCTAACAAAGCACAAAAATGATAAAATAAACGCAGCGCAGACAGGTGACTCAGGGGCGCGGAGGAGGAACTTTGTGGGTGGTGGAGGGTTGACTGTCATTGTTAACTGTTTTTCATAGATTTGTAACGTTCTCTATGGGTAGTACCTTTTCTGGACGAAAAGGGTTCTCTTGAATTCTGGACATCTAAAACTATAAAAATAGTAATCTAAACTTTTGAGAAGTATTTGAAGTATATTGTTATTGACTATAAAAATTATAATTCGGTTTGATAGTTTTCACGCTCAATTTTAATCTGTTGAAATAAATACTTAAAATTCTTCAAGATAAAAAAATTAACAATATTCACATTTAATTCTTTTTTAGAAGTGAAATATAAAACTAGATCATATAATATTTCGTTAGAAAAAACTATATGTTTTTTGAGACCATTATCCAATATTTTTATTATTTTATTTAAGTTTTTAATATTAATTACGACTTACGCACTTAAATTTCATTTCCCTTCATGTACTTACTCTACCTTATTTTAATTCTATTATTCTAGTCATAATCGTTACTTTCCCGCTGAGTACATCCAATGTCGATCAAGATTCCGCCATGTGTCAGCGGGCATCTTTGTGCCTGTGGCCGTGTGTTTGGCACGCTTTTTGTGTTTATTAATAACAAAGTAATCAGAAATTGTAATCTCCTCGCAAAGCGTATTACAGCAGTAATAACAATGGCAACATTGAACCACCAGCCCCAGCACAAACCCCAACAATAACCCCTCCGCCCATTTCAATCGCAATCCCCCGGCCAACCCCACCGACGTTCTCATTCATTTGGCGATTTCAATGCGGGTTTATCTTTGCCGCTTGGCTGTCTTCACGGGCTGCATCCTTGAATCCTCGGATCCTTGATTCATTGTTGTTGCCGCCACCGAGCACGCTTCCGGCTCAAGTATCTCTGTTTTTGTTATGATTCCCCCGCCGTGTATACATTTTCATATACTTGTTTTCTATAGATTTGCTGTATATTTCTGTTTTTATTATTTTCTAATTTGACGCTTCATTTGCCCACGGATGATTTCGTTTTATTTTGTTCTAAAAACAAAAGGGTATTTTCCTATTTTCCTTAAAAAGGTAATAAAGGTCTATAAAAATCAAGTTTATTTTGTAAAGGTGCAAATAAATAATTTTGTATTATTTTAACAGATGTAAAACCTTCACATTTAATTTTTAATTCCCTAAAAAATAAATATTTAAAGTTATTTATACTTTTATTCTATCCTGTTTAATTTTATTTTACTTACAATATATTTTTTTAAAAATAAGTAGATTAATTGATATAATAGGGTCTTTAATGGTTAGCTTGTTCATAGCCTCATTTATTTCCCTTTGTTTTTCTGTTTTTTTTGTTCTTCCTGTTTTCTAATTTGACTTTTGCTGGGCGCTGATTTGCACTTTGATTTTCGCTGACTGATTGGGATTTAGTTGATGGGTCTGAGAGGTGGATGAAAGGACCTGAGATGGATATCGGGGCCTTTTCTATTGATGACTCGATGGCGTGTCTTTATGCCTCTCAATCATTTTGCTTGGCTCGGATTTGTTATTTGTACACTTGCCTTTTTATGTAATTTCACCCAAGCCAGTTTGCTTTGCTTTTTTTGCCCACCTGCAATTTCTGTTTTGCCAATTTGCCTATTTCGTATGCAAATTGCCAGCCATTTGGTGTCAGTCTCAACACGAGGAACCCCCTTTCTCTCCCCGTTCATGCAGTTTGAGCCACTGGGTCAAAGTAATAAAGCAAACAAATTAATTTGATTGTTTTCACTTGATTCGCGGCAATTTGGAATTCGGTTTCTGCAATTACTTCAGAACTTTGTTTAGAATTTACTCATTAGCAGAGGTTTCAGCATCGAATTGTATTGCATAAAATTGATATTGTAACTAATTTTTGAAGAATTTACTTGCTTTTATTGTATTGTTTAAATCCAATCGTCAATATGAATTGATGAAATGCCAAATGCCAATGCTTTGGCCATTCAACATTCGACGAAGCGACGACGAGGAAAATCGTATATAAACCGAGCGCCGAGGAAAATTCAACTTAGTTGCGGGTTTATTGTTGCCGAATGCGAACGGAACGGAATCGCCGGAAAATGCGGCCGGGCTGAAGACAGTGCGAGCGAGTGAGATAAAGATATTCGGCCGAGCAACAGTGAAAAGCGTTTGAAGGGCCATAGATACAAGATAATGCCCCATAGAGGAGTCGTCCTCCTCTCCGCCAACCGATATGTGAAAATCACCTAGTGAAGCCAAAGTGAAAGTGTGTGAGAGGTGAGGGAGCGAGGCAGCAAGAGTGATAATGGATAAAACAACTCTAGATAATAATACAAAGTGTCGAGTTTTCCGAGACAAGTTTAAAATGATATAATGACTATAAACATGAATATTATGTACAAGTTTTATTAGTAAAATTTACACTTTTAAAATGTAGTATTTTTGAAAACGAAATTTTTGAAAGTTTTTAATGTTTGACTAATAGAATTAGTTAAAAATTATCAAGAGATTTAATATAATAAAAGAAAATGGCAGAGTCGGGAAAGTAAAGACTCAATTAAACTGAATTCGATTTATTTTGATGTACTGAAAGTAATAAGCTTAAGATAAGCAACTCAGTTTAATAGCGTTTTAAATCCAAACATTATGAAATATTAATTTATAAACAACCAAATAGAAAACAAGAATGTTCAAGATAAGCAAATAAAAATTACAAGGAAAATTCAACGTGAGACCCAAGAATTTACTGCCACAAATCATTTGCAAATATAAATCAAAATTACCATAAACGAAATCCCACTGTGAATAAATATGAACTCGAGGAGCCGCAGCAACTTGAATAAATCAAAATTAAATATTAATTAAAGCCGCATTAAAATTGCAAAGAAAATTGAATAACCGAAATAGCTGTAAACCAAATTGCCTTGTAAATGCTACCGAAAGAAAACCAATTTTACACACTTAATTTAACCACATAACTCTTGGCGTTTCTCTGCCTTTCGCAATTAAAATGCAATTAATTTGGCAACAAATTTGCTGTGTAAAGAGTTAAAGCCGTCTTCGTATTTTGCCTCTGGTTGGGTATTTTGAAATTTAATTTTCAATTGTCATTCTCTCAATTCCATCCGATCCGTTCAGTGGCAGTAACTTGACACAACATCTAGTTGGCTTAGCAGCTTCATTGAATTGCCATCCGCACAAAATGCATTTTTCCTTTTTTTTCCCCCTTCCAAAGGGCTTCTGTTGTTGTTTGGTATTTGTTGATCGGCTTTGTGGGCCTTAGCACAGAAAAGTTTATTAATAAAACGTTTTGCCTAACAAAGCACAAAAATGATAAAATAAACGCAGCGCAGACAGGTGACTCAGGGGCGCGGAGGAGGAACTTTGTGGGTGGTGGAGGGTTGACTGTCATTGTTAACTGTTTTTCATAGATTTGTAACGTTCTCTATGGGTAGTACCTTTTCTGGACGAAAAGGGTTCTCTTGAATTCTGGACATCTAAAACTATAAAAATAGTAATCTAAACTTTTGAGAAGTATTTGAAGTATATTTTTATTGACTATAAAAATTATAATTCGGTTTGATAGTTTTCACGCTCAATTTTAATCTGTTGAAATAAATACTTAAAATTCTTCAAGATAAAAAAAATTAACAATATTCACATTTAATTCTTTTTTAGAAGTGAAATATAAAACTAGATCATATAATATTTCGTTAGAAAAAACTATATGTTTTTTGAGACCATTATCCAATATTTTTATTATTTTATTTAAGTTTTTAATATTAATTACGACTTACGCACTTAAATTTCATTTCCCTTCATGTACTTACTCTACCTTATTTTAATTCTATTATTCTAGTCATAATCGTTACTTTCCCGCTGAGTACATCCAATGTCGATCAAGATTCCGCCATGTGTCAGCGGGCATCTTTGTGCCTGTGGCCGTGTGTTTGGCACGCTTTTTGTGTTTATTAATAACAAAGTAATCAGAAATTGTAATCTCCTCGCAAAGCGTATTACAGCAGTAATAACAATGGCAACATTGAACCACCAGCCCCAGCACAAACCCCAACAATAACCCCTCCGCCCATTTCAATCGCAATCCCCCGGCCAACCCCACCGACGTTCTCATTCATTTGGCGATTTCAATGCGGGTTTATCTTTGCCGCTTGGCTGTCTTCACGGGCTGCATCCTTGAATCCTCGGATCCTTGATTCATTGTTGTTGCCGCCACCGAGCACGCTTCCGGCTCAAGTATCTCTGTTTTTGTTATGATTCCCCCGCCGTGTATACATTTTCATATACTTGTTTTCTATAGATTTGCTGTATATTTCTGTTTTTATTATTTTCTAATTTGACGCTTCATTTGCCCACGGATGATTTCGTTTTATTTTGTTCTAAAAACAAAAGGGTATTTTCCTATTTTCCTTAAAAAGGTAATAAAGGTCTATAAAAATCAAGTTTATTTTGTAAAGGTGCAAATAAATAATTTTGTATTATTTTAACAGATGTAAAACCTTCACATTTAATTTTTAATTCCCTAAAAAATAAATATTTAAAGTTATTTATACTTTTATTCTATCCTGTTTAATTTTATTTTACTTACAATATATTTTTTTAAAAATAAGTAGATTAATTGATATAATAGGGTCTTTAATGGTTAGCTTGTTCATAGCCTCATTTATTTCCCTTTGTTTTTCTGTTTTTTTTGTTCTTCCTGTTTTCAAATTTGACTTTTGCTGGGCGCTGATTTGCACTTTGATTTTCGCTGACTGATTGGGATTTAGTTGATGGGTCTGAGAGGTGGATGAAAGGACCTGAGATGGATATCGGGGCCTTTTCTATTGATGACTCGATGGCGTGTCTTTATGCCTCTCAATCATTTTGCTTGGCTCGGATTTGTTATTTGTACACTTGCCTTTTTATGTAATTTCACCCAAGCCAGTTTGCTTTGCTTTTTTTGCCCACCTGCAATTTCTGTTTTGCCAATTTGCCTATTTCGTATGCAAATTGCCAGCCATTTGGTGTCAGTCTCAACACGAGGAACCCCCTTTCTCTCCCCGTTCATGCAGTTTGAGCCACTGGGTCAAAGTAATAAAGCAAACAAATTAATTTGATTGTTTTCACTTGATTCGCGGCAATTTGGAATTCGGTTTCTGCAATTACTTCAGAACTTTGTTTAGAATTTACTCATTAGCAGAGGTTTCAGCATCGAATTGTATTGCATAAAATTGATATTGTAACTAATTTTTGAAGAATTTACTTGCTTTTATTGTATTGTTTAAATCCAATCGTCAATATGAATTGATGAAATGTACACATTAAGTATTCTTGGAACTAATCAAGAGCTTTGACGTGTTCAGAAAAATTGGCAATGCTTGCTCGCTTTTAATTGGAAAAAATTTCCTTGGAATTTGCAACGCAACGAGCTTAATTGTTTATTAAATACCTTGTGCATAAGAATTTAATTTACATTTTTGTTCAATGCTTTCGAAACTTTCATTAAAATTCCAAAAATGTAATGTAATTATTCCTTCTGATACCTGATATTAATAATTTAAAAACGTCCCTTTAAAAGACTTTCTTAAAGCCTTTGCCATCTATGTCGTAATTTCCCAAAAGTAAATAATTAACCTTTTTTCCGAGATCCTTTTCGTTTGCAATTTTTGTTGTGGTGTTCTGGTTACACGCTTTAAGGACCAAAGACCGCGGCAAATACAAAAAAGTGAACTGTCAACCATAAAAATCTCGCACAAGCACGATATCAGAAAGAACAACAATCAGCGGGCAACTACAACAAATCAGTTTAATTTGAATTTATTTTTTTCGTGGGCGCGTGTGTGTGAAAAAAGGGAAAGTTTTTACACAGTTTATTTTGTCGAGACCTTTTTCCATCGCCCACAATAAACAAAAACAAAATGAAAATGAAAAGCGAGGTATCGAAAGGGAGCGAAAAGGGAAAATTAAATTCACAATAATTATTTCAAATATTTTCCCTTAAACGGGCATTTCGTTTGGTATGCAGCCATCTTGGAGTTGGAAAAATGCGCACATTTTAAAGTTCAAAAGTTGGCAGCGAAACAAAGCGGAATAAGGAAAAGCAAACAAAGAGGAAAAAATGCGAAAATTCTTCAGATGTTGCTCTTTAATGCATACGAAATACTCAAATAAATTATCATCAGCCTAATCAACATCAGCGTTATTATCAGCGGGCGGAGGAAAACTTTTCATTTCGCCAGGTATGTATGGGAAATTGCAGGAAATAAATTCTGATTTGTTCCTTTTAATATAACCAAAGCATTAGGTGTCCTTCCAGTGGGCGGGTGTCCTTACGATTCGCTGGCTCCTTTGTGATTTAGTTCATTCATAAGCTGGCTGCCACTCTAAGCACTTAATTATTTAATTATGTTGAACGTCACACACACGGACTGGTCCAGCAAATACAGAGAGAGGAGTTTTCCCCCCAACCAGCACTCAACTAAACCACGGTAGATTTTCCTCAGCCCAACTTCTGTTTTGGTTAATTTCAGTACATTCCCACTTTGACCTTCCACCTCTCGCGGTTGCCAGTGCAATGTTGGCTTTGGTTTATCTCCATTTCCGTTGTACGAGGCGTATGTGTAATATGAATATTTTTGTAAATTATTAAGTATACGTAATGAGATAGTAAATTTGCCCCCCAACCACAGGCAGGTAGTGCGGTTTAGTGTCAGAGATGAAAATTGCATGTGTTTCCCAGGTGGGCGGGTTTGTTGGTGTGCGGTGCTGTGTGAGCCAGCAATTAGTTAAACACAAAAGTTTATGCCCCATCAGAGGTGGAGTTGCGCACTTCCTGTGACCCCCGACCTGCGACTTCCTGTAGCTTCCTTCCTGTGCTCTATGACCGCTTATCTCGTAGGCTCGTCTTGGTCTTAGTGGGGATTTATGCCGGGTCATCTGACTTTAGATATGCTCGTTGGCAGGCTGGTGGGCCAAGCTCTGCTTAAGCTTTGAGCAACTAAATGTCCTGGTGCGGCCAAAGATGGCCTCAAAAGTTTTTCCTCGGGTGTCTCAGTTATCTGGGCAAACGAGGGAAAACTTTATGGATTACATAGAATTTATAATTGAAGTGGTGTGATGTGGAAACGTTTTAGGAAATCGATGGCTCAACGCAAATTAAAATTCCATTCAAACGACTTAAAAGTTTCTGCGAAAGTTTCCAGATATTTCAGCTAAAAAGCATTTAAATACTGTAAGATAAGATTTCAATTATTTTCTTTAACATCCGACTTACCCCACCTGGCTGGCATTTAATTCCATATCGACTGATATTCCATCTAATCTATGCCTAATTTGTGTGAACACATTACTAATTAGCTTGAATGTCATTAGCCCAAAGCTTTGAGCACATTTACTCGTGTGTAATTCATTAGATTTCCATTCGAAATGGCTTAATACTCTGCCTAAGGGCGAGCTCAATTAAAACAACGTAAAAAACAACGTACAATTAACTGACCGATTTATAACTATTATTTAATCTTACAAAAAATAGTAACCAGAAAACAGCAAAAAAAGCTGTAAATTTATTGTTTTTTATTTTAGTAGGTAATCAAAATATGTAAGCATATTGTTTACTGCTTAGATTTGTAGATTTAAAATTGTAGATTTGTAGATTTTAAATTAACAACAAAAATATTGGGTATTTCCAACTGTTCCAAATATCTTAATTTATTTACCCATTGCAGATATATCCAAAAATACCCAGATGTAGCCGCGTTGCTCGTCTTTAATTAGTCATTGAATATTCGTTTGGCATTGGGCACATATATTTCCATCCCTTAAAAGCCAAATCCAATCAGCTGTTGAGTGTGTTAATTTATTCATAGAATTATTTTTTTGCTCTCCTTCACTGACCTACGACCCTTAGTCCACTGCGATACCCTTTCCCTCGAAATCTGCCTGATTAGTAAGGGGAAAATCCTCTTTTGTTTGCAGTCCACGCACGAATTCGATGAGAACTTCAAGGCGAGTCCTCAAATGCCCCAATCCCAATCCCCAAACTCCGATCCCCATCCATGGAGGCTAAGCTCTCGGTTCAATATGTTTTCCCATTCGCCTGATGCTTTCTTTTTTCTAATCCGAGAATGTGGACCAGCTGCTTCTGCTTTAATTCCCCGGGCATCCTTTGACACACGAGATGGAAACTGTGAGAGTCCTTGAACTTGCCACATTTCGCCGCTGAGATACAAAAATAAAATACAGAATTCAAGTTCAACTCAATTACCTAGTGAAAAACAAAATACAGAATTCAAGTTCAACTCAATTACTTGACTTTTGTCATGACTCCGTGACTAGGCCTTTTTTGTTTGTTGAAAGCTCCAGAAATAATAGAGATTTTCCCCATCCGGGTACCAAAATGCCACCTGACTCCATAAAAATTGTTTCGTTGCGGCTTTTCCGGTTGCCAAATTAAACAAAAATAAAAAGAACAATGAACTGCACACGATTTTCGGTTTACTCAGCAATTGTCCATGAAAATGCACACAGTATTTTCGATATAAACACACAAATGCAGGCAGATACGCAAGAATGTGTACTTATGTCGGCCATATAAACAATCATAAACTTCGTGATTTATGCACCATTCGAGAGCATCGAAATGCAATCGAACGGAATTCGAATCGCAAATTTTTCGACTCAAAATGCAGTTCACTTAAGTGTGTGTGCCAGTTTAGCGAGCTGGAAAGAGAATGTTGAAAATAAATTCGTAGAGAATTTCCTGAAAGCTGATGGAAATTAAATAATTTAATAGTGGGAAAGCCAGCGATTTCTTTAAAATGCTTTTTAGATAAATCAAAAAATGAATTTGTGCTTTTAAACTATCTAAATCTATATTTAAAGGAAGAGTTATTAAGTCAACAGAAAACTTAAATTGACTTAAATTATTTTCATTGTTTGTTTGTATACTTAATTTTTAAAAATAATCGTTTGTTTTCTTTGTGAGAAAAAATATATATTTAGGATTTACTATTTATTTATTAAAAACAGATTTTGTTCAAATTAAGAACTGAAAAATAAATAAATAACTATTGCACTTATTGAATGCATCTATAAAGCATTTAGTTATTAGCTAATGGAGCTGTCGACTATAATTTATTGTTTTCCAAAAAAAAAGGTTTTTGTATTTAATCCCATCTGTCGTAGATTTGCTTAATACCTATGATTATTTACCCTTCATTGACACCTTTTGATTTAATAAGCCGGTGAGACTGCCGAAGAATCAATGCCTCAGGCAGTCCTTCAACGGTGACGTAGGCCGAGTCATCGAAGGCGAAGGTTCCTTGGGCTCTGGCCGTCTGCCAAATCGGCACTTGACATTGCCCAGTGACTCGGAGGTCCTCGGAATGTTCCAAGCGCCGGATGACCAGAGGAAAGGCCATAACCCTCCTGCCTGCTGCATAACTTTAATGAAATTGCAACCGGGGCACAAACAATAAACAGAAGGGGCATGGAAGGAGTCGTAGGGTTCCGTTTCTGAACCGCAAACTAAATATGCAAAAGGGCATGGAAACACTGGTGACTGAGAGGCCCATCCTCCCCACGACAGAGGGCTAAAGTCACCGGGCCAAGAGTTGGCCAGGAACTGTGAGCTCTGGGCCACATGAGCACATGGCTCTAAGCGCAACGCATAAAGGATAACGGATAATGGACTTAAAATAAACAAAGCCAACGGCAGGCGGAAGAGCAGGGCAAAAGAAAAGCGGACGAACAAAACACGGCAAAACAGAAACAGAAAATGGCAAGGAAGGATGGAAAACCGGGCCAGGGAAACTGTTTTGCTTTGTTGCCAACGTACCCAGTGATCAGGAAAATTGGGAGTGTCTGTGGTATATTGGGTTTCTTTTAACAACTTTGATTTTCTTATTAAAGATTTTTACAAATCTGTGAGCAGGAAAAATCGAAAAGTTATGTTTTGAATGTAGCTTAAGGATTTGTGATTTTTTAATCCCAACTGTACTGCTTATAAACTAATTTTGAAGTGACTGAAATAATCGCTTAAAGCATTCTGAACTATTATTTTCAATTTCTAAGTACTAAATACTGGATACCTCCTCGTTGATCAATCCCCTTTTGTATTGACGTTTTTCTTCACTGCTCAATGCACATCATCAACAATGAAGGGACTAAAGCTATAAACTGAGACAATATGGCAAAGGAAGAGGAAGCGAGAGGGGGGGCGATGTGGAAGCGAGATAGAATCTGGGTTCAGGTAGGATGTCGCATTCATTCGCTTGGTTTGGCTAACTTGGATCATGTCACAAATTAGTAAGTCATTTTGCCATCTTGTTTACCCATTTAGCTGCTGGAAATCATTTTCCGCTTAGCCAACTGCTGCTGCTGGCAGTGAACTTTCCCATTTTCCCCCTTGCCGCCTTTTTTTGGACCTCGTCCAATGCCTTTTTGTTCGAGTTTTATTACGATGCTCTTGACCGGTTTTATTGCCCTCAATATTTCTTGCATTTTCTGGCCACAACTCTTTCAACAAATATGTGGGTTCCGTCTGGCATTTGACTTTTGCCTTGCTTTTTGGCTTCGGGTTTGTTTTAACAAATTTATAAGCTAAACAAATTTATGCTCGTTGCTCCGGGTTCCTCACTAGTTGTATTAATTATGAATGTTATTTTTCGGAGCATTCTGTTTCAACCGCACATACATAATCATGTTTTCGGGTTATGGGGAAAATTCCCTTTTCATAAAATTAATTCGATTGCTCTTCAGAGAATTTTAATTGATGGGATACTAGACCTTGGGCGAGATTTCAGAAAAGAAATCCAAATAAATGCTTGGTTGAGTAATTTTAGACTAAACAACAATGATGGGGTTGAATATTAATCAATCTCACGAAAGAGAATAAAAAACAGAGATTATTCAACACACAAATATTATTATTTAAAAAGATTATTAATTATATTTTCGATCAAAAATTTCAGAAAGAGAAATATTATAAAATATTTAGTTTTTTGATTTGGTAATAAAATGTTTTCTATTTATTTATCACTAAAAGTTGATTCCAGAAAACATTTTTATAGGATAACTAAAGTAGTATTTGAGTGTTTATCTTTGTTCTACCTTTGATTAGTCAAAAGCCCTTTTCCCAGCACCTACACTCATAGAAATTTTTACCCTAAATCGCCCTAAAAAACTGACTTTTCGCCCGTGGATTTAGAAAATCGCCCATAAATCGTATCCGCTGGCGATT